ATCCTTGCTAACCGCTCCCACACACGGGGGAGTGGCGGTGGAATCCATGCCTACCGCTAACAACCCACACACGGGGGAGTAGCATAGATCATGCTGACCGCTACACGACCCACACACGGGGGAGCGGCGGCTGGAGCCATGCCTATACCACTACAGCCCACACACGGGAGGGAGTGGCAAGTAGATTCCATTCCTACCGCACACCACACGATCACGGGGGGAATGGCACTGGATCCATGCCTACCGCTACACCCACACACGGGGGGAGTGGCACTGGATCCATGCCTACCGCTACACCCACACACGGGGGGATTGGCAGTAGATTCATGCCTACCGCTACACCCACACACGGGGGGAGTGGCGATGGATCCATGCCTACCTCTTCACCCACATCTCTCTTGTGACACATGCACGAGTGACCTCAAAACACCACACTCTAACGTGCATCTACTGGATCCACCCACTGACGCGGTTAGAGTAGCCTTTGCAAACCATAGCCGGGGCCCATTACCAACATCCTCGCTGCACATAGTGCGGACTTCAAAACCCATGCATCGCGAACGCGTCATCCGCGTCGTTGCCCCGTCGTGGAAGATGCAACAGTGCCGCTGTGTCACCGAGGTCGCCGTGTGCCGAACATGCTCGCGCAGCAACAGGTCGCATCGCGTAGTATACCTAATCGGGTCGATGTCTTTGCGGCCGTGAAACGCGCGCCAGCGTTTCTCTCTCTCTGGCACCTGGTGCCAGTCGAACACGAGGCCCCAGGAGAAACCGCCCACATGTTTCCTATCGATACGCTCGCCGTGCGTGAATGCGAGCGTCAGTGTCGCTATGCTAGGTATGTCGGGTATGGTGACAGTCGTGCGGTCACGCGCTATGGGGTCGAGGAGCGGAATCAGCCATCCTGTAATCGCAAACGTCGGCAGGCTTCCGTTGCCGTGAACGAAGTGCAGGCGGTCGGCACCGCGCCGCGCTAAAGTTGCACCAGCTATAGTTCTATCCGTGTAGCCTCTTCGCTCCATGAATAACGTAGCTCTACCCGTGTAGCCCCTTCGCTACAGGGCCATAGGGATGTATTAACAACATGGTTCTATCCGTGTAGCTCCTTCACTCCCGCTATAGGGTTGTATGAACAACATGGCTCTAACCGTGTAGCCCCTTCGCTCCCGCTATAGGGCTGTATTAACAACATGGCTCTATCCGTGTAGCCCCTTCACTCCCGCTATAGGGCTGTATGAACAACATGGCTCTAACCGTGTAGCCCCATTCGCTCCTACTACAGGGCTGTATGAACAACATGGCTCTACCCGTGTAGCCCCTTCACTCCCGCTATAGGGCTGTATGAACAACATGGCTCTACCCGTGTAGCCCCTTCACTCCCGCTATAAGGCTGTATGAACAACAGGGCTCTACCCGTGTAGCCCCTTCACTCCCGCTATAGGGCTGTATGAACAACATGGCTCTACCCGTGTAGCCCCTTCACTCCCGCCATAGGGCTGTATGAAAAACATGGCTTCTAACCGTGCTAGCCCATTCGCTCCTACTACATGGCTGTACACTGAACAACAGGGCTCTAACCCGTGTAGGCCCCTCACTCCCCGCTATGAGGCTATATGTACCAACAATGGCCTCTACCCGGTACGCCCATTCGCTCCTACTGACAGCGGCCTAGAGTTTAAGCAACGTGGGCTTCTACTCGTGTAGCCGCCTTCCTCCCGCTAATAGGCTGTATGAACAACATGGATCTAACCGTGTATGCCCCATGTCGCTCATACTACAGGGCTATATGGAACAGAATCATGGCTACTACCGTGTAGCCCCATTCACTCCAACCGCTACCAAAGCTGTATAGAACAACATGGCTCTACCCGGTACGCCTCCTTACCTCCGCGCTATCGACTTGGCTGTATGAACAACATGGCTCTAACCGTGTAGCCCCCATTCGCTCCGTACTCAGACAGGCTGTATTGACACAACATGGCTCTTACCCGTGTAGGCCCTTCACTTCCGCTATAGGGGCTGTATGAATAAACATGGTTAACCGTGTAGCCCCGCTTACATTCCGCTATAGAGGCTGTAATTGAGTCAGCGGCTCTACGTGTAAGCCCGGCTTCACTCCCGCTATATGGGCGTGTATTGAACAGCAACAGTGGCTGCTACCCTCGTGTAGCCGCTTCACTCCCGCCATAGGGCTGTATGAAAAACGCATGGCTCTAACCGTGTAGCCCCATTCGCTCCTACTACAGGGCTGTATGAACAACAAAGCTCTACCCGTTTAAACCCCATCTCTCCCGCTACAGGAAAAATTTCCCATAAATTGTGGGTCATATATTGTGCTATAGCACTGTACTGCGGGAGCAAAGGTGCTATAGATAAACGGGTAGAGCTATATCAGCTACAGCATAACTACAAGATAGTGTCGTGATTATCTCCCTTGCTTCCACGTTCACGTGCTTAATCTGACAAACTAGTCAGCAGGGTGTCCAGGTGCTTACGTCCATTAGGTCGCAATGTCATATTATGTCATATATATAATAGTGGCATGTACGTAACAGGTGTTCGACTGTTGTTCTTAATATCTTTCAGAACTTTGAAATAGGTAACACGTATTCGCGTTGGTATAGTAATAATGGCGTTGCTTTTTAAATATATATACATACACACATACATATATATCAAGAGCGATTAATACCTAGATGTACATACGGAAAAACGGAAAATAGTGCTAATTCTCAGGGGCGACTACATTCATTCATACTTTGCCTGCGATCTAGATATAATTTCCCATGGTATTGGCATAAGCAGAGATTCTATTTGCTCTCTAAAACAAGACCAACCGCTGTCAATACGAATACTCCTAGGCCGGCAGATATCGCTCCTAAACCTCCCCTCGCCGACATGCCAAACGCACCCGAATCCAACGTCTTGCACCAATCAGCCTACACGCGGGTAGGACATTTTGGCTATCGTTTCCGTCACCATCTTGGAGCGCTGATAAATTGATGTCATATCCCAAATTTGGTACTGTTACTACACTTAGTAGCTGAGCTGCCGTTGTACAAAAACCTGATGGAGGCCGGCTCCATCACTGAACGTGGCGTTAGCCGTGCTATGTAATATAATGGGAAAGATAAGGGCATAGCGATGCCGCGAGAATGTCCACCTATGATATTACCGAAGCGCCGTCCATATCATGAAATTTATCGCGGAAAACCGAACTTTCACAGAAGCATACGCCTAGAGCCGCGTGTAGGATGCGTGGCAAGAAGTCGATTCGAGGTGGCGTTTGCATTGGGAGGGAGGTTTATAGTGAGCCGATATCTCCGGCCTAAGGAGTATCGTATTGACGAAGCGGCGTTGTCTTTGCTTTTAGAGAGCAAAGACTTTGCTTAATGCAAATACCGCATGGAAATTATTCTAGACTCGCAGGTCAAAGTAGAATAATGTAGTCGTGAAATAGCAACTATTTCCCGTTTTTCCCGTTTGTCAGCCTAGTATTATCCGCTCTTGATATGACTATAATATCATATAATAGTATATATATATATATCAGTGTTAATTACGCCAATTAGTGCACCTGTTGTATAATTACAGTTCAGATTAGTACGAGAGACAGTATCATCGAGACAACGATGGATGGCTAATCATGACCTATTCGCCATCGCGACATTTCCCCCGGTGTGATGTAGACGCGGAGAAGAAGCTGCATGGTTTATTCATGACAAGTATCAGAATGGTGCGAAGTCGCTGCCAACACCTGCCGCTGCCACGCGCACACATCAGACAGGGAGCCAGGACGCACGGTGTCATAGCTGCCTGATGAACAATAACAACGTCATACTGTCAAAGTAACGTTATAGAAAAATATTAGTGTATCCGCTGCCTTGCCCTCGGATAGTCTAGTTGCAACGGTAGGGAAGTTACATGTCATTTGCAAAGAGGAGACCTGTAGAGACTGTATCAGTGGATAATAATTTCCGCTATTACCTTCACCTGGCATATAAACCTGTAATAGGCAATAAAGTAAATTACAAGTATTATTATGCGATTGCTTATTATATTATCGCCGCTAATGATGACGACTGCACATGCAGTACAATCGTAGTTAAAACTATGCGCGTAAAAAATAATGTGCGATACTAATACAGAGAAACACACGCAACTGTAAAATTACGCACCTAATAATCTTGACGTAATGCAAGGTGGGCATAATGTTTCCATGAACCATTTATAGATAGTATATAAGATAGCCGAGTCGGTCTATAGTTAGTGTTAGGGTTAGGGTTGGAGTTAGGGGGTTTGCATCATTCTTTGATATACGGAAAGTCTGATGCGGAAGTTGATATGCGTAGTATGGAATATGTGTAGGGTTAAGGTTAGGGTTTTTGCATCATTCTTTGATATACGGAAAGTCTGATGCGGAAGTTGATATGCGTAGTATGGAATATAACCACGCGCAACCACCAGCACCATCATCAGGCTGTATGCATTCAACTTCGGAGATAGCCGAGTTCGTGCGTGACGTCAGTGTACGTCACGAGGATACTTTAGTTCATAGAAACATATGCCCACCGTAATGTAATAGTAAAGCAGGGATGCCCTTGTGTTGGCACTTACAACCTTGCACGTTGCGCCATCTACTCAGTAGATGTTTTACTGGTAGGATTCACCACAGGAGAAATACTAGAAACGGGTCCAACAGCACTGCCTGCTGCAGAATGACGCTCTTTGATTGGTGGAAACCGAATCGAATCGAGTCAACGGTTAAGGAGGCCCAATGGTTTTCGGAGTGCTTTCGATTCCGGACACGTCTCTTTTAACTTTTATTTACGGCTTTGAATTGAGGCTAATCGATTTATTAAGTAATTTACTAATAGTATTAATTATTAATAATTATAACAATAATTATTATAATTAATAATAACAATTAAGTAACTAATTAAGCTCAATTATGCGACGTTGCTATAGAAGACATGCGATGTGATGTTTACCTTCTGTGCACTCGCAGTGGGAATCGAGGTAAACGAGGACTTTCCCCGTGGCATGCTTCCCGCCCAGCAGCCGCACCCTGATGAGACCTTCCCGCTTCTTGGCCCGCAACAACGTCACCTTCTCCAGCGTGTCTACGTACTGTTGCAGGGGTTTCCCCATGTGAGCTGCGAAACACAAGCAGAAACAGGGTTGCAAGATAGTCGACAGACTTCAAGGAAAAAACAAACGCCATCTCACAGCCAAATTCGGCCAAACTTTTTTCCAATATCGGCCAAAATTCGGCCAAATTGGATCGGCAGATAATAGTGGGTACACTAATTCAGTTAAAATGTAAAAATTATTTAAAATATTTAAATATATAAATATATATATATATATAAATATATTAAATATATATTAAAATATAAATATTTATTAATTATAAAATATATTTTTATAAAATATTAAAATATTAAAATATTTAAACTATTTAAAATATAATACGTATTTCTGTTTTACAGCCATTTCCCGCCATGCTACTTGTACCACTGTTTTGTATCCATTATTCTCTTCCGTTATCACACTAATTGGACCGCGAGATGGCGGTGTATACAAAATAACGAGATACTACACCATCGTAGACTGGTACTCGCTCCCACTCTCGGCTTAGTTACTCGATGGGATCGAGATACCATCGAGTAATCGAGGTGGGAGCGAGTACCAGTCTAACACATCGTTGCAAATCGTTGCAAAAATCTTTTCACAAATTCGGCCAAAATTCGGCCAAATATAGTTTGGCCGTGACTTTTATATATGTTACGGACAGGGATTTTTTATAGCGGCCAAATTCGGCCATATAGTTTTGGCCGTGACTTTTTATTTTTTACGGCGAGGCGAATTTTTATACGGCTAGATTTGAGGACCAAACGACCAAATGGCAACCCTGAGCAGAAACCGCGCGTCTCGATTTCAATTACCGGTTTCCAATTTCGGTTTCAATTCGACGGTTTCGATTTTCCATTTAATCCACGACCACGCGTCCATTGTGCTCTCGCGTTAGCGCAACCTATTTCTTCGCGTATACCGTCACGCACACGCGCTCAACCCCGTCGGTCGCAGCCGCCGTTTCGTCTCTATTTCGGCGTGGTCGGCGGTGAGGCGCTTGGTCGCCGGCACTTTCACTTGGCGCGCTCGCCATGTATGCACGCGTTTGCGTGAAATCCTTCGCGCTCTAATTACGGGCGTCGACCCAAATACGGGCGACCGTGCGCGACATTGGTGGTGTGGTGTGGTGTGTGGGGGGGGGGAATAACTCGGAAATGCCGAGTTTGTGTTTCTTTTTTAGTACTTGCATCAAGGCCGCGCGCAATTTAGCGTAGATAGAGAGAGCGAGAGAAAGAGAGAGAGAGAGAGAGAGAGAGAGAGAGAGAGAGAGAAAGAGAGAGAGCGAGGGAGAGAGAAGATAAGGGAAAGAAAGCGCGCGCGAGTGACAGAGAGAGCGAAAAAAAGAGAGAGAGAGAGAGAGAGAGAGAGAGAGTAAAAAAAGAGAGGGGAATAGATAGATGGATAGATGGATAAGTGGATGAAGGGAGAGAGGGGGAATGGTGGATGGACATGGATAGATAGATGAGATAAACATATTATTAGATAAGATAAATATATTGATTGATTGATAGATAGATAGATAGAAAGATGGAGCGGTGAGGGAGAGACGCATACACAGAGATAGACAAAGATAGAGCAGGGAGAGAGACGAGGCTCGCATTGGCCTTCCTGGTGCGTTCTTGAATGCCTCCACAATTACGTTTACGGTCGAAATGTGTATCTCTAAGATTGTCAACGCAATGTGATTCGCAGCTGAAAGTGATCTCGTTATCTTGTACCTGGTTCCGAACCCTTGTTAATCAAGAATTTCATGCAGTTGGGTTGCGTTGCGCAGTAGCACTGGCATCTCGACTAACAGCATAATTTACATTTCGGCTGCAACTAAGATCATTTTACAGTGACCTCCTCCTCCCCCCCGCTTTATCGGGCCTCGGAAAAAACGGGCGCATCGCTTAAACGACGCGTCTTTGACTATGAGTAACAATCCCTACACACGTCGCTACGTGTTCACCGCTTAATCGGGACACTCTCGTGGTTCGTGACTTGTCCCGATGCAGCGGGAACCTCTGTACAATCAAAGACATTCCGATAAAACAGCGGCAGACGCAACATGTTCTGCTTGCATCTATGAGAAATACGACATACGCTCTTAATACGACATAAGATTCTTCCTATGACAAATATTGGCGAGTCAACCTCGTTCAGCTTTACAGCTGAAATTCACTCCTTGCGTTCCTAATAGCGCTCCTAAACTCCTATGATGCGCACAACACGAACAACAATATTTGTCACAGGAAGAATCTTCCTATGACAAATAGTGTCATAGGAGAGCGTATGTCGTATTTGTCATAGATGCTAGCAGAACAGGCTGACAGACGCTACGCGACGACAGACGGATGAGCAGCCAGCCGACAGAGATACACTTACATCGCTCGGAGTAGTCGTCGACTAGAATGACTTCCTTAAGTATCTCCGGCGGCGATCTGTCAAGCACACTGTGCACGGTGCGTAAAAGTACGGACAGTGCCTCGTTGTGGAAGATGATGATGACGCTGACGGAGGGCAGCGACGATAGCGGCACATAGTCTCGCTTTAAACACCTGCCGAGGACGAGAGAGAATGGGAGATAACTGTGTAAAACAGTCGTATCAACGCATGCAAGATATTTCTCGATTTCAGTGATATTTGAGCTTTGATTTATCCCGTGTCTTCTCTTCTCCGCTTCTTCGCATTTATCTTGCATGGATGACTACGTTTCTACTTAGGTGACGTCACGTGCGTGCCTGTGCGTGTGTGCATGCGTGCGTACGTGTGTGTGTGTGTGTGTGTGTGTGTGTGTGTGTGTGTGTGTGTGTGTGTGTGTGTGCGTGCGTGCGTGCGTGCGTGCGTGCGTGCGTGCGTGTGTGTGTGCGTTTGTGTGCGTGCGTGTGTGTGACCTCACCAGCTATAATTAATGTACTGTCGTTTTTCCCATGGACGTCTGTTTAAGTAAAAAGAACACGACCCATTTGTCGTACCCGCATGTACTAAATAATTTCGTCATGCGCTGTAATATGTCATAGAGTTTGTTCACTTCGTTGTTAACAAGTCTCTGCCTGCTCCAACGACGTCGTTTCATGAAGGTTTATCGCTATTCTAGAAATGTATCAAGTGAAATATGCGCGCGCGCATTTCTGTCTTCTATAATTATCGTAATTATATGAATAAGACACAATGCAATATAACCAAGTCTGAAAGCAGGTTCATTGTTGAATCCTAGCAATTATTATAGAGGTTTAATCTAATAATAATAAACCATAAAATAAACAATATGTGATACCGACTGCGTGTAGAAAGCGGGTATTGGAGGAAATCACACGCACGCGGCGAATCATAAACTTCTGACGTCTATTTACCGCAGCGATATCTACAATTTTAACCAGATTTATTCTCACGTTTGTTGCAGCAACAAGGATTTCTATATTTGGGTCACCTACGTTTCGTGTCGCATGTCTGGGAGACGCCGCCGCAGCGAAACGAGGTCGCTCAGGTACTCGTTAAATGAGTTCTTGGCCATTCCCTCGTCGTATAATTTCTTCTCTTCGGGTGTTAGCTCTGCAGTTTTCATCAGGTAGCCTTTGCCCATATCACCCGGTCCTCCAGCAACAGGACTGGCAACGAAGATATAAGACATATATACAGTTATAGCAAGGATAGTGATGACGATGATGACCTTGATGATGATGACGATGCCGGACGACGACGACGACGATAATGATGATAATAATGACGATGATGACAATGATGACGATGATGATGACAACAGGGACGACGACGACAACAACAACGATGATAATAATGATGATAATGATGATGAGGAGGAGGAGAAGGAGAAGGAGAAGGAGGAGGAGGAGGAGGAGGAGGAGGAGGAGGAGGATGATAAAAAATAATAATTAGAGTGGTAACCATAATGATAATAAATATGATTATAATATATATATTTGATTTCAAAATCTAATAATGACTCCTATTAATATGTATAATTATCTCTTGATATAATATTAATAA